GGCGTCCTGGCGTCCAAAAGAAACTTGAAAAATGTAATCACCCAATCATCGTGTTAAAGCCTTTCCCTACCCCTTCATGTAGCATACCAATTTAAAGCCTAATAAATCCATATTTCACCTATGTTAGAGAAACCCGAGATATAGTCACTCAAAACTGACCTTTAAAAATCGGGCTTAGCAAAATCGTGCCAATTCCAAGAGAAATAAAACTGTCTTCGTGCGGCCATGGAAGTGCATCAGGCATCAATATTGATAGAATGGACATACATTGCATATCCAGTGAATGGAGACTTCCGTCTCTGCAATAAACAATATTGCATTACTATTTTTTTCAAATAAAAGGGAAAACAGAGCTATGACAAATGCCACGCAAAATTTGGACATAACATTAAATATTAAGTTTATTGTTATTTTACTTTCGAGCCACTGGTTTTGTGAAGAGCACGAAGTCTTTTGGCATCGACTCCATTAATTAATTATTAATTTTGGACTCAATTATCTGTCTTTCACCCCAAATGTCACAGAGAGTTGCAAACAAAGGATCTGAATTGGGAGCAAATTCGCTTTTCTTCAGCTGCTGTTTCATGGAGCTTCACATAACTGTATGTATATCAGGGCTGTTTATTGGTGACCACTCCAACGCTGATATGATTTGGTTTTCCAAGAATTGTCTGGTGGCATTTGCCTTGTGATCTATTGTTTTGCAATGCATGGAGATGTCTACTTCAGTGACACCATGACAAAAATAAGAGTAAGACATGACGTTCTAGCGCTTGCGCGATGTAATCCTCTAAGCCAAGCCATCCGGTGATTCTCACGAGGGCGGTTTTGTGCACTCTATCCCACACTTCCCAAAACCACGGCTGTTTCGTGGCCTCTGTTCCTCTCTGATGTATGATTATGTATAATATCTAAATGACACTGTCCTTGTGCAAAAAGAGTTTTGTGCTCTACATGAAACCGATAGCTCCTATATTAAAACAATATCATACTAATGTGTACATTACGTATTGTAAAGACCAGGTTTTGCGAGGTATTTGTGACTGCTCTGTTTTCCAGTCTGTTTGAAAATATCATCAGAAGATGCTGTTCATTGCAGACACAATAATACTCTCTTTTCACTTGATATTCAATACATTTCCTTTCCGCCAATGTTGATGCACCTCAATACACGCACGAAAACACTTTTTCGTTTCTTTGTTTTCGCACAATTTTGCCAAGCCTGATTTTTTTAGGTCGATTTTGAATGACCGTGTCTCGGGCGTCTCGTAACATAGATGAAATAATAATAATAAGTCAGATGATGCAGAATTCATTTAGCTTTAAATTGGTATACTGCATGAGTGAGTAATGCAAGGCTTTAACACGATGATTGGGTGATTACTTTTCAAGTTTCTTTTGGGCGCTACTGTATATATGAGGTATCGTGGTGAAATCAGGCGCTCGTTGAAACTTGGTTGAAATAAGGAAATCAGAGAAATCGACTTTTTTTTTTTTTGCCGATGGCCAATTTTTTCCTAACTTTCTTTTTTGGGCTCAAACCTTTTATTTCCATTCAAAAACGCATATCTGTGCATATTTAACTAAGAAACATTGATTAAAAGCACAAAAGATGTAAATTTTCTGTTTCCGAGGACTCTCAAGCTATGGAATTCACCAATGTTTGGCGACATTTTCCTCTCTAAATTTACCTCTGAAACCAGGCGATCCCCACCTACCTTCCATCTCAAATATCTCGACTTCTATTCAAGTTAGATGGGTATTGTTTTCACTACAAACAAGGCAAATGAACATGCTTTAAGATGATACCAATAACTCCATATGCCCAAAAATTGACGAGCGCCTAATTCCACAGCGTCGTCTCTCTCTCTCTCTCTCTCACACACAC